GGGAGTAGTGCAACATTGTTTTAAAGAAGGTTCTTACAGAACATTTAATAGAAAATTTTCATTTGTTTATTTACTAGGGAGTCTTTCATCTACTAAGCTTATTGAGGCCCTTCAGTGATGATGGTGGAATGAGAGGTGGAGGAAACTGGAGAAACCTGAGGCCCTGCCATTTGCCCACCTCAAATTTTACAGTAAATGACCGGAGGTCAAACTTGGACCCCAGAGTAAAAGATGTATGTGCTAGCTATTTCATCACAAGCCACACTTGAAACTTCTTACTGTTTGTAGATAAGATACATAATGAAGGCTTGTGTAATATCTGAATGTAGGAAAATGAGAGGTTTAGAAAATTTTTGTTGTTAAAAGTTACGGAAGCTGGGAGACACACAGTATAGTCAAACCCTAATGCAAGGTAAATCTGAATTGAATGTAAAATATTATACATAATTAAAAGTTATGAAAGCTGGGAGACATTCAGTACAGAGAAACCGTAACTAAAGGTAAAACCACATTTAATATAAAATATTTCTAGCCTCAAACGTCACCAAACATACACAATTTTTTAATGAAAATAAGACAGTTAAACTCTTAAGTCATTAAAACATGGAATGAGAGAAAGTGGAGAGCTGAAAACTTGAAAATCTTGGATTGGATCAAAAAGATCCAAAACATTTTACACACACATATGCTTCAATGTTTGAGAGCCATTTTTACCAATTTATTCCATTCCAGCCTTTACTCACAGTAACTACAGTTCACTTCTTTTATCTTGAAAGGTACAAAAACCTATCAATTCTCTTATTTTATTGAAAATCAGCGGGCATTGTGTTCAGTGCAAGGATTTAAGTTTTATCTCAAACAATTTATTTGAAGATAAGTAATATGCAATCGGGAAACCTTACTTCACATATAAACAAAAAAAAAAATGCACTATATTTTCAAGCAATACTTGAAAGAATTTTAATTGTTTTTATACTTACTTGGCCTAGTTTGCCCAACTTTGTGTAAGTTTCCATTCGACCAAAGCCAATTTCCGATAGGGATTGTCGTCGAGTAGCACGACTAAGAGGCCCATCAATTGTTGGACTAACATTTTGTTTTGCAATGAAGGACTCAGGTAAATGTAGATCAGCTGGCAAAGATAACCGTTTGTTGATATCTTGCTGTAAAACAACAAAAATCAAATAAAGGAAATGATTTGTGATATTGACATTGCATGTTTAATAAGGCTTTTCAATATATTTTTAAAAAGGCATTTATTTTCAGTCATTTATTCATCTATGCAGAATAAATCCAAGAGCAAAGTTGTGAAACCTGACATAGTCACCGACAATCACATATAATATTATTTTTTAACTAACATTTGAAATGTTCAAGTCAAAAAAATAATGGAAAAGGTTATCCCACAAGAAATTTTGTAACAACAAAGAAAGATAATTGATGTATCTCACATTCTTGGGATGATTTATAACTCTTTGTTCCCATATTTTCAATTGATGGCCTCTTTAGTAATTATATCTAAATTTCTTAGAAACCATTAAGCCTAGATAAGACAATGGGATTCATGTCACCAACTACTTGCTCTGCAGTAATGCACCAATGCATATGAATTAAAGGCCTATTCCTGGCAAAAGGGGGCATTTTGGGAATACATATGTTCATTACACCATTTCTACCTCACTTTCACTCAGGAGGCACCTTCCCAAGTTTCTTGGTAGAGATCAGTTTATTAATTACAGTAAGTTATCCTTGTGCTAAAATTTCCTCCCTGGCTTTGTTTTCTTATTTTTAATGAAAATTGTCTCTCTTGGCTAGCTTATTTTTTTAAAAGTAGAGATAACCGTTGGTAATTAGTCTTTGGAATTCATTTAAAGACTAGCTTATTATCATTTTCTTCTCCTTCAACAAGGAATTCCACAAGATCCAAATGCAAGAAAGTTCATCAATCTCGTACATTCTTCAAATTCTTTTCCATAATTCATGGTCCTTGATTTGTTTTGGGAGATGTTCTTCAGGTATCCTCAGCATATTTATTATTATTATTATTTTGTTTATTCTCAAAAGTTTTTGGTTTCACATGGATACCACACAGATACAATATCAGAGCATGGTAACACAGACATATTTAAAATCTACAAAAAATTAAGGACTTCTAACACAATAAATCATAAAATAACTGTTTTTCAGATGTAACATAGAAATATAGTTTTCAAATGCTAATAAAAAATACAATTTCAAGAATGAGCTTTCAAACCCAGCATGTCCTCCCATGAATCTCCTGACTAGTGAGCAGGTGCTGATTATAACAGACTTTCTGGAGGGCCGATGATACTGCTCTTCTCCAAGGAGAGTTTTCCAGCGATCTGCAGAGAGTTTTTGGTATCACGCAGTTGCATAAATTTGGGATAGTTTTTACTTCTGACACTCGCCATTGTTCTTTTACGGCAAATACTATATCTCTGTATTTGTCATTTTAGTCTGGTATGTTGTCATCATGTTGCTGGTATTAACGCACTGCAACATCAATAAACCAAATTTTCTTTGCAGATTTTTGCGGCAAAAGAGTAATATCAGGTCTGTTGTGCTGAATTGTCCTGTCTGTCAGAATACTGCGTCCCAGTATAACTTAGTGTCTCATTTTCTAGTACCGCTTCTGGATGATACTGGTAGTATGGGTCATCACTTTCTGAGGTAGCTGTGCTTTTAGCTAGTTTGGAATGGATGATGTGGCTCACTCTAATCATGTTGCTGGTATTACGACTGCAACATCAATAACCAAACTTTCTTTGCAGATTTGTCGCAAAGAGTAATATCAGTCTGTTGTGCTGAATTGTCCTGTCTGTCAGAATACTGCGTCCAGTATAACTTATGGTCTCATTTTCTAGTACCGCTTCTGATGATACTGGTAGTATGTGCATCACTTTCTGAGTAGCTGTGCTTTTTAGCTAGTTGGATGGATGATGTGGCTACTCTAACGTTCTCTTTATAGTAGTGGGACTAGACGCTACAGCCTGATATAATATGCTGAATGGTTTCATGATCTCGACCACACATGCGACATTCATCAGTTAGTACTCCTGGGTCTTTGATTATATTTTAGGTAATTCTTTGTGGGAATCACCTGATCTTGTATTGCTATCATGAAACCTTCGCTCTCAGGGTGCAAATATCCTATACTGAGCCATTTGTACGACATTTCTTGGTCGACATTTGGATTGGCTACTGCAGCAGGATATGCACAACGGAGTGTTTCTGTTTTCCTAAGGAGCTATCTGCATCTGTTGAGGGCGTGTAATTGTCATCTGCCTGCCAAATTACCCTTGTGGAGTAGAGAAGTGCCTGCCTTTTCTGCAAAATACTTCCTCATGGCTATTATCTGTTTGGCATGGAGATTCGTGAACTTCACAATACCACGCCCTCCCATTTGTTGAGGCAGTGTGACCCTCTGTATCGCACTTTTAGTATGGTGACAACCGAAGCGTGTCATTTGAACTCCTACAAGTCTCTCCAATTCCTCTAGGTTGGTTGTGGACCATTTAAGAATACCCAGCGAGAAGGTGATAATGGGTATAGCATACGAGTTAATTGCAGCCGTGAGGTTTTGGGAGTTGAGGGAAGTTTTTAACACTGACTTGAGTCTGTTGGTAAGCTCTGTTTTAAGTATCCCCTTCAGTTGATGATGTGCAATCATATTTCCTTGCTGAATCCCAAGGTATTTGTAGAGCTCATCAGCTTCCAGAGCAGTGATTGTTTCTCCATCAACAGTCTCGTATGTGAGCTCACTAGTGAGTTTACCCTTCTGTATTTGTTGTATTTTGCATTTATCGATGCCTAGTTCCATATTTATGTCCCTGGAGAAGTCTTCAGTAACTTTCATCTGAATTTTTAAGCCACGCATCGTTACTATTATTATTATTATTATTATTATTATTATTATTATTATTATTATTATTATTATTATTATTAAGCAGATATTTGCCTAAGAACTGATTTCTTCAATAACAGAAAAAAGTCCAGATATTTTCAATACTGATTCTATCTTTTCTTGTTCAACGCATAACATCTTAATAATTTAATTTCAGATGACTATTTTGGTTAATCTATACTTTGTGGTCACTTTTTTTACATTTCAAAACCATAGAGAAGGAACTAGCATTACCTGGGAAGATCTGAGGCCATTCATTTAAATTTTTTCTTATTATTCCTTGAAATTTAAGTTTTCTTTCTATTTCATCGTCATAAGATATATTTCAGCCTAAATACTGAAAATAAGAAACTTGTCCATTGATTTCATAATAAATAATTATTTTGGACAAATGGAATGCTCCCTTTAAACATAATCTTGGTTTTCTTTATGGAATTTTTCATATGATATACGTATCTTTCCAGATTCAGATTTTATAAAGACTGCAAACAGCATTCACATTCCTGGATGATAACTGGGTCATCTCCATTGGGTTGTTTGAATAAGTTTTACACTAATAGGAAATCCTTGATCTTCTCCTATCGCCTGGCTCTAATTGCATTGGTATTTTGGTGAAAAGGTCTTGCAGTTTTTAAGACGCTCTGGGAAATCACTTGTTTTTGTCATGTTTTACAGTCAAGATAATCACTCAAAAGACTTTTGTAATCCAGATAAGCATTTCCTGGACTCGCATTGCTTTTTAATTATTTGTCTCAATATAGAAATATAATTGATACAAAATCAATCATGTTGCACTTCAAGTAAAACTGTCAGATATATTTAGCAATTTGCTGCTTATAAAACATTCGACAGGCTTATTTCTCTAAAATTTGCCGTCATGCTTTCATTTTCTTTCTTAAAATACAGATATTACTTCATCTTTAACAAACTCTTTTAGAACATATTTTCACAGAACACTATGAGCTGTAGCGGTCTTAATTTCAAAATCATGCTGCAATTTTAATAATTTGCAATTTATACCATATGGGTATGTTAGCCTTCCAATTTTGGTCTTGCTTTGTAAGAAGAGAAAGTATTGTAATTGTGTGCCAGAAACGAAAAAGATGAAAAATCTCTTATATATATCTATATATATCTATATATATATATATATTAAATTACTTGTGTGGTCAGAACCCATGATTTGTGAGATCTTAATACTGAAAAAATGATTGATGGCAAAACATCTGTCTGGCATCAATGCTATTGCTATTCATGGATTAACAAACCATAGTGGACCTTGGATGTCTTCTCATGGGCTATTATAAACTGGTTTTATAGTATAAACAATAAATTTTAATAAAATTGTAAAATTAATAGAATGAAGGCTCATCTGCCATAGTTTGTTTAGAGTAATTTGGTTGTCCAGAATGTTCTCAAGAAGGTCTTAGTCTACCATTTAGTCTACCATGCGCAAGTGTGTTTACGTACGAGGTTAGAGTTAGCGAATCAATGATAGTGAATATTTTAAAATCAAAGATAGTGTGTTTTCAAATGCAAAGATTAATGATATCACAATGCAATGACCAGTAATCATCAGACTCAAGCTTTTACAAAAAATATTCTTGAATTATAATTGTATGTGGTGGATTATCTTTTTAAGTTTAGGTGATCCATAGGATTTCTTGGCCATTGATTCCTTCAACACATATTTAGAGAACTTGGGAAATATAAAACATTTCAATTACATTTTCTGCAACATGTTCAACACTAACTGCAGTGAATAAAGATAGTATACTTCCAGAATTTGTAAACCTCCCTCATTTTACTACTCTTCTAGACTTAATAATGAAACACATGAAACAATATTTTAGGGATTTTCTGTTTTCCTTACAGTGAAAATGTAGAATTTTCCAGATGTGTCCCAACTTTCCAAGCCATCTTTCAACCATACTGATACTTGTGGCTTGGATGTCTTGTGCATCCAAAAGGAAAAATTCCGGTATGCCATGTATTCCCACTACTCTTGAAAAAAACATTTATCAAAAAATGAACTTCTAATATATTCTCATTTTCAAAGCCTAAAAACATTTTCGGTAAAATTATTACTGATAAATCCCAATTTTCTTCCCTTGGAACACTTAAAATTTTTGTGACATGATATTAATAAATGCTGCTTTGCTGAAAGTCCATTGATGTAAAACAACATATCAAAATAATAGTTCCAAAATATTTAAGTACATGTATTTTGAGGTGATGATAATAATTTTAACATACAATGATGGCATTCTAAAATAGTTTTCCATTCACTGTACTTCACAATTTACATGTATAATTAATTTATTTTACAAACAAAAGGTTTTGGCAGAAAGGTCTGAGCAGAACAGACGATAAACAATTTTCAATCATTTGAAAAAATAACTGAAGAGAAAACAGTCTATACCTAATGAGAAATGACCAAGAAATCCTTACATATGCTGGAAACCATTCTTTTTGACCAATAGATTCGTGTGAATTGTTATTTTATTGTAGGTATCAAATGTTGATATTAAGTCCTTCAAAACCATGTGGATTTTAATTTTTTAGCAAGGAAAACACCAGGACATTTAACACATTTACTGCCAAGTGCACTCTTGCCAAACAACACCACAGTGTACTGCTGTGTGAAATAATCTGTGCTCATTAAATGTAGTGATCACTATCCATCGTTGATAAAAAGGAAATTGATAAGCGAAAACACTATTGAATATTCTCATAATGAAACTTGTCACTGCATAAGTTTCATATGAAGGAAAGAAAGAAAAAGGGGGGAAACATTGATTAATTAACTCCATGACACCACATAGTCTCATAAGGGTAGGCAAAGTATATTAATGATATGTTTCATGATTACTTACTAATCAGATGTAAGTAACATGTTGCATTAAAAAGGGATATGTAAAAGTTAATATGTAGATATTTCAGAATTCATGGTATCACAGATGTACAATAAATGTCCAGTACAAATATAACACAAAAACCTAAATGCCAAAACAGCAACAAATTACCTAACTCTATAAGCTATTTAAAATATATTTTCTAGTAGTTACAATATAAAAGCAACAAAATCAGGACACTTTAATACACAATGTGAAGTGTCAATGCAATATAAAAAGCAAATCACTGAGAACAGATTATTCTTTGAAATTCTGATTCTAATATATTGAACAGTTTTGTAAATTAATAAAAATGTAATATGATTCACATTCTAAATAACATTTAAAATGAAATGACAAGAAAAAATAACTGTTATAACACAACAGTCATACAATATTTGAAGGATTGCATTGAGATTTACAAGGAAGCAAGCTTCCAATTCATAACATGTGAAGATATACAATTTCAAAATCTTGGAATAAAATACAGAAATTGAGGTGTTTTTTCATCAGTTAATTTGGAATTTCTCCACAAATAAAATCAATACAAAATGTAGCTTCCAATAATTTTAGCTCTTGAAAAATCTTGCTCAGGAGCAACAATATAATAAACTAAATCATTGGAGTACAAGTATTTACATTTACATCCTACAAAATAATTGTTTGCTTAGATGAATATTCTTTGTTACCACAGTAATATCCGTGATCAATAGTAATGAAACAATTGTATTTTAATTTAAGTTAAAAAAAATTATTAGGAAGAAAATTTTCCAAGAATTCAATTTTTTTTACTAAATTATTTGCTTTTTGTACAGCTGAATGTTATTGAATATGACAGCACAGTACAAATGTTTTGTGTCCAATGTAAGGAAGTAAAATAACTTGCATATAACTTCCTATTAAGCATTCCTACACTACATTAATCCCCCCCCCCGCTTCATTTTCTACATCAATTCTGATCAATAATTACAATGAAATTAGTAACAAACAACACACATTTAAAATTAATATTCTTACTACACAATATTCAACTCTTATTACAACACTATGATTAGTAGTTATTTCTCTATTAAGTCACTACAATTTTTACTAGAAATTACATATGTAATTAGAAGAATAAGCACAATATTAATAATTTAGCAATACTTTATATGGCAAAAATATTTCAATGTGATTGCCAACATAAACATTTAATATTCTTTTACAACTTGGTATTAGTGGAAAATGCCTGTATTATTGAACATAGATGCTTTAAAACAAACAGATATGTACCTCACTAAGTCTCCGATTCTTTGGGCGCAGTTTGACTGGAGACGTCACCTCATCCGAGGCCCCGGACGCTTCTTCCGATTCCCCATCAGATCCAAAACGGGGGTTTTCATGCACTACCCCTGCACAGACAAGGCACTACTCAACAAAAGGAAACAATACATCTACTGCTGCAACTACAAACACCAACCCTACATACAAGCACTTGTGTAAAATATTACTCTACAAGAATCATCAACATAATAAAATAATTCACAAGTTGTGGACCACTCATTTCTTTTACACACATAACATTCATACAGTTATAAATATATGCACACAATTCAGAACGCAGATTACCAGAACTGTAACTTACAAAGAAAAATATTACTTCCCTTTCAAAAAGAGACAAAATCATCATAAGCAGACACTGCAAAGCTATACCTGCTGCATGCATGATGGTGAGTACTAAAGTTCTTATAGCTGAGGGAAGCCTTGTGCATGCCAATCCTATTACAGAAGACCTATCCAATAGCTCAGCCAGTGTCAAAATGACAGCACAACGCAGAGTACTTCAAAGCAAGCAATTGAATTTGCTAAATATACAATTAATACTCAATATTTCTTGTTAAGTGCAACTTAGTAAATTACACATAAAAAGAAAAACAAAAACCCAACTTTAAAATAGAATAGTATAGTCTGAAAGCAATTAAAGCAAATGATCATAAATTACAATCCTCTTTTAATCCTTCCCTTGACTCCATAAAAAGTAACCCTCCTCATTGATATTTTCGTTAAACCCATTTAGTTTCATTAACTGCAAGGATTTCAAACAGTTTTCAAACCCAAAAAAGTATCCTAGCACATTTTAATATTGGAAAATTTGATTACTTCTACATAAACTTTTAGGAATATTTCCTGGTGACAACTCTACCCACAAATTTCTCCACAATCATTTTCTCTCAAGCACTTATGGTCATCAACTTCCATATCAATTAAATTATAAAGGAATATATATAATCATAGAACTACTGAAAAAACTGTTCTCTCAAGACACCACAATGAAAGAATCACATAGAGCAAATTCATTTATGTTCTATTTTTACATTAAAATATTATTCATAATACAATAATCCATTTATTCGCATGCATAACAGAGTACAAGTATTTTCAAATGGCACTAAATATTCATATAATAGTAGAATTAAATACTAGAATTGCGCAAAATAACATTTCACATGGGTGTACATAGAAATTAGCTGTTCAACCATAGTACTTACCAAACATCACAAAAACAAAGGATAACTTCCAGAATCTTAAGGACGCATGTGTGTACCAGAAGATTGACAAAATGCAATAATGAAATGAAAAATTTCATTGAAATTCATTTAAATAAATTAATTGCAATGTAAAACAAAATTTGAATGGAATGCTTTTACAAGAAATTCAAAATTACAGCCTACCCAAAAATATTCAAATTCGTTTTTGTAAAATGTTGCTTCTAAGCCTTTTCAGTTTGCATCAATACGAAACAGCGATTTCATAGCAAGTAACCAACTCTGGAGTAGCAGTGTACCATATTTAATTTTTTAACAAATGAGCCTAACTTCATGCACATGCAAAACTATTCTAGACTCCTCACAAAACTTTGATACATATTTTTTACTAGTTATGTGACTGTGACATGCCTTTACAGTACCCATAATCTTACCTAAAGTTAGACTTTTTGAGGCCTTCATTGAGCTTTTTCTTCTCCGCTCACTCAAAGTGGCAAACCAATTGCCAATTTTATGGCTGCCACTGGTGAAGGAGCTAAATGTACTACTCTTGTGTAAAACCTTAATATCCATGGCTTCTGATTTCACATGCATACAGGCAGGATCAGTCATTCAAATTCATCCCAGGATCAGCAGTACAAGAGGTTAGAATCCACATATAAATATATTATCCTACATTCTTTCACGATGAAGCCGCGTGAAAACATTGCATTACACTTATATTAGTCTCGTGGCATTGTAATCATTATAATTCTTCACTTCAAATAGAGGTTTTCAAACATTCCGAAACGAAAGAAACATCACATCAACTCCACTGATTGAAGTAACCTTAGCTAACTTGATCTGCAGTCAGCGCAGACTAGCTCTTTTTAACATACAAGAAATTACTATTTTTGTTAACACATCACAGCTGATTGTCGAATGAAAACTGTTTCTTCGGGAAATATTCGAGAGTTCTCACTAACCTCGGTACTAAACAATGTCACAAGTTCAATACACGTAGGGCATCATCTTGTTTTCATAGCACTCGGCATACCGCCATGTTTGGTCGAGATCTCTACCAACAGACAATAAATGGAGGGGGGAGTAAATGGGATTATCACGCAATTATATAACGGTCGCGAGAATTAAACAAAGATCACAACATACCGATAAAATCCTCCGAAACTGAGAGCCAAGTCCGTTCACTACCCGCGGTAGCATTTTATGTCTGCCCACACTGGGAAATAGCTTCCATGGAAGAAGAGCTTTTAGCCGGGAAATATGACCCTGTCACACATACAGAACCAAAGGCAACGAAGCTAAATCAACGATTTTAATTTATGTAAAAAAAAAATTTAAAACTGTGATTTACTATGAGGTCGATGTGCAATTTGTGCACGTTTTCTTGAGCTCTGGAATCCATACACATATTAACTTGAATTATGAAAACAGGTAGCAACGAGCGTTTTTGACAAGATTTGACAAGCCAATCCTCACTTCCAGACCCCTAAAAACTATTTGAAACAGCTAAGGACAGATTTTGGCTTTTGCATTAATTCTAACAAAAGATATCACCCTATATTTAAATCAGAACCAAGATAATTCATTACCTTGGAGTAATGTAAACGTAGAAATTATAATCCATTCATACACGCGAACACTGAACACATGTCGACATTCATCAACATTGTAACATATTCGAAAAAATGACTAACCATAAAAAATAAATAATATCGAATGAATGATAAACTACCTGTAATATAATAAAATATCTTTGATAATGAGATGAAATTCAAATGACATACAGCGAGGGTTGCCATAAGCTTAACGATGGACATCCGAAATACACAATTTCAGAGCAAATTGTTTGTTTTTATAAAAGTAAATAGTATATTAAGTAAATTGTTTAACAAGGAAATAGTAGATCAAGATAAATACATTGCACACTTTCAAGAAGAGAGTTTTTGCAAGACGGGAAATCCAATATCGTAGTTCGTAATCGTTGTCAATAGGAAATTAAGTGTCTTCAGAACAATGGTTTTGCAAATCGTACAATCGAAGATATACGTAAAACGAGGAACTAGTAAGACAGGAAAACCTCTAACATTGCCGAAACACTTTTATTGAACATCTGTGTATCTTCTGACTTTTTCCTTTTATAAGGATAGCAAGGTAGTAATACGTATAAATCTCGAAAATTTATTGTATCATATGAATATGTAATATAAAGATTATCTCCAAAGGAAAGAATAGCTCACTAGTCTTAGATTGTAAGACGCAATTTTACTAAAACATTTATAATAGGTATGGGAAATGTATGGCAATTATACCGCCCTGTAGATACATTTTTCTAATTTTCCGTGACAATCAATGTAGCCTCATACACATATCCTAATACTAAACAAATACGTTAATTCCTGCCATAGTTTGAATTAACTCTAGTAAAAATTAACCAAAACGCCCCTGCCATATATTCGTACTATGGATATTATATTTTTCATTAGTTTTCCCATACTTATTATGTTCAGTGGCGGAAGCGAAAACTTCCTAAAGTATAGCTTTTGTCGTAGACGACAAATCAGGTAGAATGACGGGACCAGACAATCCGAATCCCGCCATCGGGCGCTGGCTCATGCTCTCCATTCTCTCCAGAATAGTGTCTTTCAAATTCACGACTTGCAAAAACTTTCTAATAATACGGTGACCACATTTTTCTGCGATGACTTTTCTTGACTTTTCCTGATTACCCAGGTAATTTCCTTTACTTTTCCATGACAAAATTTATGACACATAATACGGTATTTAAATAAAATATTAAATAAAACATGACTCAGGTAGATATTAAAACACCTATCGAATGAACTCTTTCCTCTTTTGCATTCCAATCTTTTGCACTAACACATTGTGAGAGACAGAGGCAATTCGATTCACAACACACAGAATCTTATTTTTCAGCTCTAAAATTGCATCGCAAAATGACGAAAATAACAACATTAACGTGCTTAACAAATACAATATGTGTCAAAAAGAACAATTTATTAACCTCATTTGAAAGATAATTCTTAGTTTTACTTTCTCACCCTTACGAATTAAAGTAGAGAAAATGTATCCTGCAAAGGTGGCTCAAGACATTAGCTGATGTCACTGCAGTGCCTCCGACCGCGGCAGGATTTTCGACATGAGCTAGACCAGTGGTCGCCAAACGAATGAAGCTTGTGAGCAATATTATATATATAACACAAAAAAAAATGTTAGTAACACATTATTAAATGTAAGAACAGAATTTTCGACTGAAAGCGATGTCTTTAGTATTTTGATTGAACTCGCCATCATTAGCACAAATCTAGCTAGGTAAAAATGGGTAAACCAATGCGCGGGAGTATGCCGGGAACTCTTTTCGCGAGTCATCTGTAGAACAAGTCCACGCTAGCCAAATTTGAGTATGATCGCGATCTACAGAAAATTGCCCCAGCTACTAATAGTAGATCGTGATCGACGGTTTGGCGATCACTGAGCAACACAACCTTAGTTCAGCCGTTGCCTGCAGGATAATTCCAGCGCACACTGGGACAGAAAGGGATCAAACCTGGCCAAAATTCCTGGAAGCCTATTTACACGAATACGGGGACGGGAATCATCATTAAAAGGCTAGGAATATATGATTGGACACTTAGAACATCATATATAATTTTTTCAACAGCAAATATTTAATTATTTTTTTACAATAATGTCTAAATCACCGTCATCATTAGACGAATGTGTAAGAGACTACTGATTTTCTGTAAAAAGGATATTAATACCCTTCTCCCACACAAGGGTTGAACACTGCATCCATGCAATGACCGTGGTCATATGAAAAGAACTGCTGAAAAACTTCCCACCTCTTAAACACATATCATGAAAAAAACTGTATCTTCAATATTTTAGTAATAGGAAGGCTCCGAAAAAATTAAAGTTTGGCAATTTACGAAAAATGAGGTATTTTAACGAAAATGAGACCTGCTCCATTCTCTTAAACGCCCCTGACACTAACCAACAACAAAATTTAATAAAAGACGTTGGAGCAATTTTTTTGCAATTGGAAAATGTTCCAGGGACTTTATGAAAAGTACACCTTAAATTAAAATACCACTTTCTCGCTACCGCTTACGCAGAAGAAAGTTTTGTAAAGCTGTGTGAAAAACGGCGAATTTTCGTCCGAAAAATTCTTATTGCCAGGCCCTGCTAATGAAAAAATGGTTAATCCAGTTTCTGAATTTAGAAACAAAATCCTCTAACACGTGGTGTAGACAGAATTCATGTTTTGTGGATCCTTGATACCGAAAAATCGATTGACGTTAAAACGTCTGTCAGTGAACATTGCTAGCGGCTAAACCTTTTAGCCGATTTTGATATTCCTCAATCAATCTGACTGATGCCACGGCTCCTTGAATTTTAATTCCCACAAACCCACAAAGCAGAGCAGTCAGGAATACTGTCGAAATCAACACGGATATATGTGGATGGCCAGAGTACAGTAAATATGGCCCGCAATAATATTAAAGGTTTAGTTGTGGCCCTTCAGGCCTTGCAAGATGGACACACCTGCTATACATATAGTAACTCCCTTCGGGGGTTCGATGTCGCCCAGGGACTCGGTGGTGTAGGCGATGCTACTAAACATACGCCAGTAAGTACTGAGAAGCCCTCCTGTAACTGGATCGTAACCGTATGGCCGTAATAGCCGCCTGTAATGGGTTTGCCGTGGCGTGGCCGACAAGTCCATTCTCTCACCTCCGTGCGGTGACCCCTGGTAACGCATCTCGGGGCAACTGGAGGTGCAGCCAAGAGGGATGGGTGAGTCTCCGGCGCCTTAAAACGGGAGCATCTAGCTAAGGGAAGGAAATCCCTGACAGAAAAACCTTCTCGGGGACGCCGTGATCACATCGGGGACGCTCCGATGTGAGTTATGCTTCGCCAAATTCGCAACCAAATCAAGGCTCTTACAACATTTGGGCCTTGATCACCCGGACGCAGCTAATAGGGCTCGAGCTGCCAAGGCGCAGCATAGTGGTAGGACTGCCGTGTCTACAGCAGGGAAAGTCTACTTTTCGGAGGAAATTATGAAAATGACTGCATTGGAAAAAAAACCAGCGACGTCGAACGAGAATTTGGCCGCTCTACTGGGTAAGACAGCCCGACAGGTGGGTGAGAAAAGAAAAGAGACTACATATCGAAGATACTTAGCAGCCATTAAAACTGAAGCTACCGTCACTGCAGAATCATCGACCCTATCTGATGGTCGGATGATTCAGCTAGACCGTCTACTAAAGCTGCTGTTATCGCATAGCCTCGCAGGGTCATTAGCCCTCCGAAGACTCCAGTAAGCGAACTCCCTATACTGATTTCTTCTTCTCCCCTGTATCGAAGGCCTACCATTAGGACAGGAAGAAAGCCGATGATCCCCTGTTCTTACACTTGTTCAAAGGGGGTGGAAACGTATTTACAGGTCGAGATAAGCAAACAGCCTTATACCGATACCCTTCCTAAACGTCAGCCCATAGGAAGAGGCCACAAGGAACTCGCAATGGTAGCCATTGCCTCCCCGGAAGCAGATTGGGGGCGATCCCCTAAGGAGGCCGCTAGTTTCACAGATGAATCAGGAGCTTTCGGCTGTGCCCGTCCTCTTTGTTTGTATTCTATCTGCTATTGACAAGGCCCGTTCCGACACCGCTGGTCGGTTAGGACGGGACCAAACTTTTATTGAGTCCTCGGCTATGACGCCCGGAGACGTAACTACTGAAACTTGTCTTATCAGAGCCACACTAGATGCCAAGCATAACTGCAAGGAAACATTTCAACCTGGATAGGTACCTGGGGCCCCTCTCAAACTAATGTAGATCAAGAGCTCGTTGAGGTGGGAAATTAACTCAAAATAAATATTCAATCCCAAGACCAATTGAACGCGACCTACGCCAAGTTAGTTGAGATTTTGGGCGGCTCCTTTGTACCCACCACCATCAGTTCTAAAAGGCCCGCAAACGCGCTAGGAAGCGCGACTCGTACTAGGACGCAGGACCTTTTCAAGAATGATCCAGCACTTTTGGCAAAGTGTATTAGAACGGGCATTGACAGTGTGTCGATAAACAGCCCCTTATCAGGGATGAGGTTAATGACCTGTACAAATCCATCTGGTCTAATACGCCCCCCTATTCGGCTTTCCGAATTAAGAGGGTGATAAATTGTTGACACTTAAAAGGGACCCAGACACAATTCTATTCGCGGTGCTAGTTGCCGAAATTAAAAGTAGTCTGGCTGGGATGAAGAATGCCACGGCTCCAGGATAAGATGAAAGTTAGCCACATATCCTCAGGAGCAAAAATTCAAATATTGTCCCTATTGTACACCCAAATTTTATACAGTGGCTATGTGCCTTCTTGGTGGAAAGCTAATCGTACCATCACCATGCACCAAAAGAGGGTAAGGATAATACGGTTGTCAGTAACTATCGCTCCATCACAATTAGTTCTCTGCCGTGCAGAATCTTTTGGGGCATTATGGACAAACGCAGTCGATCCACGCCAGAAAGGGTTTATCCCTGAACCTGGCTGTTTCGCTAATATTCAAATTCTTTGACACGAAAAAGCAGAGGGTGGTGTAGGTGCTGTGCTAGATATTTCCAAAGCATTTGACACTGTTACTCACGCAGCTATCCGGTGGTCTCTGTTCAGGAAAGAGAACCCTGACGCCTTTATCAATTTGGTAATAGACTCTTACGCCGATGTTTCCACTGTCATTCAGCACTTCTCGAAAGGAATTCAGAGTGACAATTCGCACAGCAG